TCAATGGAATGGACTTCAAGCAGAGAATATTAATCACCTGATTTGAGCTATTATACCGAAGCAGACTGTCGACACATCGAAGTGCGTCCTGTGAGATTACACCTCCCTCCAATCCACCTTCGTGTGTGACAGTATTGAAGAGCTTTTCAAATGCACCTTCAAAGGCAAGCACCTTCTGTATGTCAGGGCTTTGAGAAATAAGCATTTGAATCATGACAATGCTTTCTGAAAGTGTATTGGCATTAGTGAGGGTAATCAACGAGTCTTATGCCGGCCTAGGTAGACCTGCGTCGGATACTGTCGTTTAAAAGCCTTGCTACAGGTGGAACTTAAGGATGAACACGGCTACGTGAGGAGACTGAGTTATGTTCAACATCCAGCTTTGTCGAGACAGGTAGTAAGAGCAGGTCTACCAGTGTACCACGCGTAGGACGAGATGGAGCAACTAAAATACACACCATTACGAATGATCTCGCGCTTATCCTCCAGGACAGCAATGACACTGGTGGCACCAGCAGGGGCCTTCAGGAAATATCCCTGAACTTGAGAACGGCGGTTCTGTAGTAGTACCGAGAGCAACTGTAGTGTCGCATAACGGGTATAGAAGTGCGTGTCACCAAGGAGGGAGAACAAAACATGAACTGCCTGATCGTTTCCGATAACATAGTCTGTGTGTTTCAACGCAAGGTCCTTGGAATCGTCGTCGGGTTCACAGAGCTGGGTAATAGTCTCGAGCACGGCCTTCGCTATTTCCGCGTCTATTTCCGCATCATTCTGTAGGACTTCGAGGAGACCAGGGAGGGCCCTTTCACCAACATCTTCCTTGCAATCGCGAGCCAAACCCTTCAAAGCAAGGACAGCAGCGCGTCTGTCTGCAAGGAGGGTAGAAGGAGACAACCGGTCACTAAGTTTTGCGATCGTGTCCTGCGCAGACTGAGGGGCGCCTGTTGGACCACGAAGGGCGATGTAGGTCTGCGATAAAAAGTCCATGCGAGTCCAGCTTGACGCTTGAAGACCGTGCCAGTAATTTGTGGTCGTGTTCAACGTTCAGGCCTGCCAGCTGCATTGCCACCACCACTGACACGTGGCCTTGCGAGAACAGGCAAGAGCCTCCTGATACCGCAACGTTTAGACCATCGTCCTACTCGATTCAACGTCATTCATCATATACAGAAGGCACGACTATATTCCTTCTATATGGTTTGACTACGGGAGACTACACTCAAGTCCCAAAAGATATGACCGTCATGCCCCAATGATAACTAGGCCATGGGCCGAATAATTAATGATTCGTCATGTATTATGGCAACCCTACCCCGAGAAGTGTCAGTGGATGACCGTCAGTCTCGGCGAAGCGCTCCTGGAGGACCGCTCGTGACCTTGTTTCGCGAGGACACAAGTAAGTACTATGTCATCTTTGTATCGTTCTTTCATGATAAGAAGATGACTGTCGAATCGTGGTGGCTGCAATCAGAGCGCGGGAGTCAAAAATACGCCGACCGGCAGGGATTTGAATGTCTTAGCCGACAGTGTGTAAGCAATTCCCGAGAGCTGGAACTGACCCACCACCTACAGAATGATGAATCTTCGGTGTAAAGCCCTACAACATGCTTCATATAGATCTATTTTTTCTCTTTGCAGCCCAAGTCGTATCATCGGCACCGAATTCACGCAATCATCAACTTGTAAAGAGATTAGGAATAGGCAACTTCTGGGCCTGTTCCTTCCGATGCACGCGCCGCTGCTGAGGAATGTGCATCATGCTTTAAGTGTCATCTAGTCCATACGAGAGACATTAATAAAGCTGCCTTTACATGCTTTTTGAAATCGTATCTCTTGCAACCATGAATCCTGTTCTTATCACTGCTGGTTTTACAGCTCTAGCGATTGTCTATGGGATGTACCGTCGATACACTCATATCTCTTTGGCAGACGTTCCTGGTCCAAAGTCTGCATCGTTTATCATGGGTATGCTATTATCTCTTGCTGGATCCATCCGCTGCTGATATGACCACCAGGGAATCTGAAAGAACTCTACCAAGGTCAGGCAGCGGAAGCTGACTTCAAGTGGCAAGCTCAGTATGGGAATGTCGTTCGCTTCAAGGGCTCTTTTGGAGTATGTAATGAAATCCAGACTTGTAGCATACATTTCCTGATCTTCCGCCGACTCATAGGAAGACCAATTGATGATTTCCGACCCGGCCGCCCTGCAATACATATTTGCAAAGTCAGCCTATTGGTTTCCAAGACCGCCTGATCGCCGTGTCCTCTCCCAGTTGATCAACGGAAAGGGGATTATCTGGGCGGAGGGTAGGTCTTTAGCCATCAACTCAAAACATGGAATGATCTGTAATTAACTTTTGAAGGTGACGATCACAAACGACACAGAAGAGTCATGCTCCCTGGATTTGGTGGACCAGAGTCTAAAGCATTCTTATTATTATTCAAGAACTGTGCCGAGTCTGTAGGCATCGAAGTCACTCAATACACTCAACACCCATCAATAACGTAAATTTTCACAGATGAGCAACAAATGGATGGAGATCATCGGTGACTCTAAGGAGGGGTCAGTAGTGTTCAATATTCCTGCCTGGCTGTCCCGCGCAACCTTGGATGCTATCGGCGAAGGTACATGGTATCCAGAGTACACAAGTACCTTTTCTTATCTCCTTTTCAGCTGCTTTTGATGTCCGCTTCAGCTCCATTGACAATAATGAAAGTGCCCTTGCGCGCTCATACAGGAATGTAATGTCAGTCTTAACATTTGCCAAGCATTTGGCTTTCCCTTAACTGACCTGAATTGAATGTGACTCACTGCAATAGGACTGACACATTTGGATCCCCGTCAGATGGGGAGGTACTCTTTCAGGAGATTTCAAAGTATATCCCACCCCAGATTATGGAATACTTCGTAGAGAAGGGCAAAAACCCACGTGTCACGCGCATGCGTGAGACAGGTGACCTGGCGACATCTGTTGCAAAGCAGTTGGTGAAAGACAAGGCAGAGATGCTATTGGAGGGCAAGGGCAGCCGAGATGTCTTTAGCTTACTTGGTGGGTCTTAACAGCCTCATTCAGATCTAGGCCATCTAATTATAGCACAGTCAAAGCCAATATGGATACGGATGCAAAGGCGAAGTTAACGGAAGAAGAACTGTTTGCTCAGATGCGGTGGGTCCGTTCCGTTTGTCGTAATTGCACAGCTTTCCGATCACGGATTGGCACAGCACCATCCTCTTTGCAGGTCATGAGACGACCTCGAACACTGTCAGTTGGGCGCTTCTCGAGCTAGCCAAGCGGCCTGAGATCCAATCCCGTCTCCGGGCAGAGATATGGAAAACAGAAGCCGCTGTGCACGCACGCGGCGATGTCAATTTTACAATCGCTGATTTTGACGCTATGCCATATACTACTGCTGTGATGAAAGTGCGTGACGTCATGCTTGCAATATTTGGGCTGTCATAACATTGCACTTGTCCTTGTAGGAAGCTCTGAGATTCTGTTGTGTCGTATATCATGCACACCGATGCGCCAGCCAAGATGACGTTATTCCGTTGTCACAGCCAATCACCACGCGATCTGGGGACGTTATCCGTGAGCTACCGGTTCTGAAGGGTACCCGAATTGTTGCATCACTTGCAGCATATAACCGGTAGGAAGTTCCACATAGCGTCAACATACTTTCTTCTGACGGTGCGCTCATATCGGTTAGAAACAAGGAGCTCTGGGGCGAGGATGCCCACGTATTCAATCCGGACAGATGGCTCAATGGCCCGGCCAAAGAGAAGAAGGTGACGTCAATAGGAGTGTACTCCAATCTGTAAGCGCTGGTCTCTATCTTTCAACACGCATGAACCCCAATTTGTTTCTAGAATGACATTCCTGGGAGGAGCAAGATCATGTATCGGATGGCGCTTCGCGTGAGTGTTAACGGGTTGTCCGGCAACGGTGGAGTCAATCTAATATGAGCGTTCACTCAGGGTGATCGAAATCCAGGCCTTTCTTACGGAGATAGTTGGAAAGTTTGAGTTCGCCCCAACTGATAAAACCGAACTTATTCGGCGGGAAGCTTGCGTGGTGATGACTCCAACATTAGAAGGTGAAGTTGGAAATGGTGTTCAACTGCCGTTGAGGGTTTCACTGGCACCACGCACTGGTAAGGAATGTTAAGCGTCATACGTGCCGGGATGTTGGGCAGCTGTTTGCAAATAGTCATTTTGTATGGCCCAACAGCCACCAGTATTCGAAGACTGAAGTCATGCGCCATTGCCCAAGTTGGGTAGTACCTGGGCTCCTCTTAGCTTCTCGACGTTGCGAGTGTGCAGGGACTCCGCTGATCGACGTTATCAGATATGTCGGTGGAAGCTGAGCTGCGGACATACTAGAACCAAGCGTTTACACACCTGAAGGGGTAAATATGATAATACGTATGCCTCAATGAGACGAGTAAAATCTCGTACATACGCCCCTGGAGTCTGGATCATAGACCCATGGTCTCAATATAACTTCACCCGAGGTCAATTAGGAGGGAAGACGGGAGAAATAATCATTGAAGCGCTCTCGCTGCAGTAAACGTGAGTACTGAGCAGCCGCGGTGAAACAACTGTTATTGAAACTCACGATAAGTTACCAAAAAGGGCAAGACAATCAGACAAGGCGATTGGAACGGATGGTGCCTCGACGAGCCTTAGGTAAGTCTTCGGAATACGTACAGCAGTTGACCCATCAGAACCTAAGCTTGGCTCGCCGCGAGGCTGATTTTATTAGTACACGCTCCAGCAATAATGAGGGTGGCACCGCTAAAACCATGGACGATTGGAGCCAGGAGTATTCAAATGATGATATCAACGGGGTCAAGCATTCTGGGGGTGAGAACAGTGAGAAACTCTACAACGTACTAGAAGCTGCTGTGTAGCGTGACGTACATTCCAGAATCCATAGCCATGCGGCATTGTTGCCATACAAAGGGACCAATTGGGACTCGAAATACGTGAGCATTGAAGCTTCAGGGAAAGGATCGGGCTATAGAGAAGCAAGATCGGATGTTGCCGTTCGAGTTCAAGTTGGTGACCGACTCGGAATTTCGAGACTTGCTAATTAAATTAACGTTGGCCTCGCGCCCAACAAAGCCTGTAAGACTCAGCTAGAGCACTTCAGGGTGACCTTGAAGTTAACGTTGATCCTGGTGGAGACTGATGCCGGCCGATCGATCTAGAATTAAATGTTGGAGCAACAAAATAACTTCCGCGGCGCAAACGTTCAGCTACAACAAAAATTTGGTTCATGAAACATCGCCTTCAGTACTCCTCCCATTACTCACATCTATCTCCATGCTGTCCTATGCAGGATCCCAAGCAATCCAATTTATTTGCTATTTTCACCTGAAATTATAATCGGACCCCTCCTTAAAAACCAGTCGGATTCGTACCTTGCTGATCAGAACCTCTCTATTCCCCTCTTCTAGACTTGCTTTCAACCTTGCTTTGAACGACTCATGGAAGGGATTTCCCTTGATACGGCTTCTAACTTCCCCTCTCTTTCCGATGTTCTTTACCAAGAACTAAGATCGACCGTTCGCGGAGACGCATACCGGAGAGGTGATCCCAGGTATGTATCCTCAAATTATTTCCTGACACCTCTGATAGGCATTGTAGTTTTCTGGACTATTCTCGAATGTTTAATGGCGACGTCGAAGTTTCCGCCATGGCTGTCGTATGTCCCCTCGACGCCCCAGACGTTAGCCAGTAAGTTCCCAACTCTCAGACCTGTCAAATATTCAATTATATCCGTAGAGTCATCTTGTTCTGCAGAAAGCATTCGATTTCTGCTTCTGTCAAGGCCGGAGGCTACGGCACTGCTGGCTGGGCAGTCGGAGGCGACATAATTATCGACCTCTGCAAGATCGTCGACATCGACATTGAACCTCCCGCTGCCGATGGCTCTTTTACTAGTATTCGAGACATGCCTTTACTTGGCAGCAAGGGGAAGGTCAAAGCTGGCCCGCTGCTTCTAGATAGATCTGCTACTATGGCTAGCAGTAAGCGAAGAAGGGAAGACGATGACGAACTGAGGTCTTACGACCTGGCATCTGCAACCGTCGCAGATTTTCTGTACCCAGGAGGATCGTCCGCCCCATTTGCTGATCGTCCTCCCGTCACTCGACGAAGGTTGGAATTCGCAGCTCCTGCGGTGAGGACCCCACAGATGTCTACCTATTCTGCGACGTCGGGCAGTCGTCACGACCCCAACGCGACATTGTTATCATCTAACTCCTCTGGTTCTTCTATTGCCATGGTTTCTAATCCCTTGGCTTTTAATCTTCCATCCACGGACGGTGCCACTACCGCTGTTGCCCCACCTTATCCACTACCAGATACCAGTTCAAATCCGCCCCCATGTTTATCATCATTGGATGATCCATTTTCCTATCTAGATGATACACCCAACAACCCCGTACCACCTGTTGCCTCCACTTCCCGGCTTGCCCAGTCCATGCCCAACGCATTGTTTGCTACGCCGAGTTTCCTCGAGGCTCAGACTAGCATTTTGACTTACGCAATGCCCATCTACTCTCATGCCTTCATGACCTTTGGTGCAGGAAAGAGACAGAAAGAAATCGATCAGTTCTCAGCGGCGAACCCTTTAGAAGCGATGTCACTCGCTGGGGGTCGTAGTGTTGTGCCATACCACGTCCCATCGTAAGCTTTTTTCTTTTCGCGGATTTTTATCCTCGTTTACCTAGCGAATCAGTGCGGCTCATCCTGTTGGTTCAGCAATCATGATCTTGGGAGGCTTTGGGTTCCTGGGCCGCCTTCACGGCTTGAGCAGTGACAACTTGGTAGAAGCAGAAGTCGTTTTGGCAGACGGTCAAATCGTCGTGGTCAGCCACAACGAACACCCAGGTATGTATCATACATATAATACTATTGACCTTGTCTTAACTGACGTCTAGATCTGTGGTGGGCACTGCGTGGTGGTGGTCCAGCCTTTGGTATTGTCACACGTTACAAAGCCAGAGCTTATCCAGTTCCCGTCGTCTTCGCGGGTAATCTCATATAGTGAGTACTGTCTTGTTTGAATTGGATCGGAACTTCACACTACTGTTCACAGTCGTTTTCATAGCGCAACTGCACCATCACTAATCAAGCACTTTCGCGATTGCGTCAAGGGTGCTCCCCGGGAGTTGTATGCCAATGTTCTGCTTACGGCTGGCCCTGCAGGGCAGGATTCCTTAGTTGTTATCCAGATGTGTTACGTCGGTCCCAAGATAAAGGGCCAGGAATTCTTACAGGCCATTTCGTCGTGGGACGGTGGACGGTGTCTTCTCAATGAGGTCGATGAGAAGTCGTTCCTTCATCAGCAAGACAGCGTTGCACAGGTTCTCCGTGGAAAAGGTGAGCAGCAGATTTAATTGAATCAACATGCGTCTTCTGAGATGTTTGCTACTAACAGCAGGAAACAAGTGGTTCATACGATCTGCGCTTATTAGCTCGCTTCCGGATGATATCGTAAATAAGACGGTCCTTCAATTTGCGGGCACGCCTGTTGGCTGCAGTACGTCTTTTTTGTCCCGTCCTCGTTTTCGATCTCTTATTGCATCTTGGACACAGCGTGGTTGTTCGAATTGGCTGGTGGCGCACTTGGTGATTTCGAGGATAATTGTATACCGAAGGCGCAACGTCAGGCTTCCTTTACTGTTGCCGCGTTGCATCAGTGGGATATTGGATTCCAAGATCCGCGCTGTGTCCATTCCGCGGAGGAGGTAAGGATATTATCATCGAGTTACTTGTTCCTATACTCACCTCCCATGTTCGTTAGTGGATTGCAGAGACTTTGGCACCGGTGACGCTCGGTGGCCCCTTGCCAAGCGTATGCGTTTCCTCCGTACCCACATCTGATTTTTTTCATTTACATCGCCGACAGTTCTTAGGCAGACAGGAGCCTCCTGGTCGAGTTATTGCTTGCTACGGCGAGAACTGGGCTAGGCTGTGCGAGGTGAAAAAGAAGTATGACCCTGACAACTTCTTCAGGAACTCTTTTTGGCCACTAAATGCACAGGGGGAGATCATTGAACCCGAAGAGCATGAGCCTCAGCACATTCAGTTTTGAGCCAATTAAGTGCTTCTCGTTCCGTTATTTAGCTAGGCAATCTAGTTTAGTTGCACTGGCAGGATCTAGGGCCAAAGCATTATTGCATGTTTGTACGCTATGTAAGATTTTATGGGCTTTTGGGCGTGCGGATATGGTGACTAGGACTGTAGCTACGTAGCTTTTTGGTTAGACCGATCTCTCTACACGATGTTTGGGCACATGTTATGTTACAGCTATACTTTGTTCTCAGGGAAGGAACTTACTTCTCCATATTTAAATCGATCAGTTCATGAGAATTAATGTATTTTTACAAGCTCAAGCCCCCACAGGCAGTACTGTCATATCATTGAGACAGTCACAGTTTCAACGGTAATTCAGTGCCAATGTATGATCGACGTGAACCACTGTACGTAGCCTAGCTAAGGATCGAGTGCGCAACTAGTCATGCATGCATGGTGCTGATACTGAGTAATTCGGCGATCACTACCATAATGGGAAAGCCCCACCGGGCCGGTCAGGCGCTGCACCGCTTTCTTTTTCACACTTGATGACAGTCGGGTATTAATGCATATCCGATCCCAGTGGCTCCCGCTGCACCCCCCTCCTGCTTACTGCCACAAGTACTGCTGTGTCGGTCACCTTTGCGTAGTCACGCCGTGGCATCTACCATGCACTAATACCGTCCCCTCTGCTTGCATCATGATACCCTCTCGCATACTTGCGCAATTCTTGCTAGGCTCCGTGAAAAACTTCCGAGTTTGTAACACCGGGGTTTTTGACACGTTTTTAACATGTTAAAAACATGTCAAAAACTCGTCAAAAACTCAAATATATTAGTATTTGATCCCAGGAACATAGTCTGTCAGCTCCCTCTGAGATATAAGCTCAATACATGACCTTGATGCTGGCATTGCTCTCGCAAGACTGAATAAACAGATTGTCGCTTATGCCAACTGTCAGAGAAGCCGGTGGAAGGGGTAAACAGGGCGCCTCAACAATAGGATACTGTAGTTCCAATGCCTTCGCGAGGACCTCATCAGTAAAACACCATGTTGCTTAAGCTGCCTTAGTCAGCTTAATTGACTTGGCTCAAAACTTGTTTGCTCTCCCCCGCATTATTCACTTGGCATGTCTCATGTTTTTTCGGTGTGAAATACAATAAAACATGTATATTAATATATCCCAATGAATTTTCTCTGAACATGTTTAAGTTGAAATTTTAGTCGATTGGTAGACTGACTTTCACATAAGACACTTAAGTGTGAGTTAAGTTACCTTGCGGAGCAAGGTCTATGAATGCGGCGTGACCTGTGGTGGTAAACATCACAAAATATACACGTGATCATCGCGAACCGTCTGACACCAGACACACCAAAATGAATTAGACTGCGTTATTGCTGATTCTGCACAGAATTACATTATGGCGAATGAGATAATGGTACAAAGTATCTTCAAGAACGATCCTCCCGAACAATAATTACACTACTTTTTTAAAATCCATCCGGCAAACTCATTTCATCACTGGCCCTCACACATATGCCATGCTATGAACGGCCCGAGGTTCGATAACAGCGCGAACAATTAACCTCGAGGTTGTTTCAACCACGCTGATGCAAAATCACACAGCATATGCGAGGATGGTATGTGCTCCAATATCCAGAGCATACGAGAGCGCGAATGCGTCCAAATTGATTTATACCTGAAACCTGTCCAAGATATGAAAAAATGCATAGTGACAAAGACTACTCGCCTGAATATGAACCACGACTCCAATTGATCGTCTGACCTGCGATTCTACAAATGTAGCTGCTTGCCATCATTTCTGTATAAAAGTCAACAGCCTGGCGCATTCCGCAATTAGATATGAGCAAATGACTAACTCAGATTATCTCATCACAACAGGTGTCATGGACTTCATTCACAGCGGACAATACGACGAACGAACGACATAACCATTATCAAAAATGCGGCAAAAGAGAACACAGAAGGTTCGTAAGTTAATTGTCAGACAAACAGCCCAAGCACCAATTTCTTAACTGACCACTCGAGGAATTTTGAGAGCAGCATCTCTCAACCGTTCTGCTAACAGAAGTGTATCTGCATACACCACTGTAGTATCTAAGTCGCGTGCCATTTTCTGAGCGATTCCTCAGTAATAAATTAGGGTAAAAGACGCCAACATATAACTAACTGACGTACGATTAAACTCTGCTGGATCTGCACATAACACTTGATCTGCAAGGATGGTAGGAGAGTCTGTATAAATCATTCGAGACCCGCTAGACTCAAAGGCTTCTTGGACAGCGGCCGCAGTCTGAATGAAGATATGGGGAGTGCCGCGAGATTGGTGTTCGACTGATGAGACACTCATCAACGATAAATAATGCACATAACGAATTAAACATACTAAATATAAAAGCACATTCGGCGTTGGAAGTCTTCAGCAATTCGAACACGCTAAGCTGCATCGTAGACCCCTTCGACACCCTTTGGAAGATCTTCGTATAGAAGACGAAAGAATGCGAGAACTGGAAGAAGACACCGAGAGACGTTTTAATGAAGGTGAATATGGACCCATATGAAAGTTTACAGCCTTTTGTATCATGCTCAGAATGTTGTGCGTCTGAACGGCGAGTAATCAAAGATATTTGGCCCTGTTGATATTGTGGGCAAGTCAAATTAAGCGAAAGAGCTCCGCAAGGTAAAAAGTCGGCAACGCCGACCCCTAGTCTGTTTAAGGCAGCTTAAGTAACATGATATTTTACTGATGCCCGCCTCCAGTGATGTGTGCAATCCACATGGTCATGGCTTATCATTATGTGGCATGGGGCAGATAGCTGATGCCAAGTACACTCAGCGTTTTGGGGGTTTTCAAGGGGTCACCCACCTGAGTCCTCCAAGCCTCATTATCTGTCATGGCCAGAGCCACATGAGGCCAAACCAAGACTGCTCAGATGCAGGGGCTTCACTGGAAGCTTGGCAAAAATTCTAACATGGATTAAAAGATGCAAGAAATATACATATATGGCATCAGAAAATGAGAATACCAGAAAACCCGCAGCAGTAAGAAAAAGAAGAGGTGTTTGCGTACCACGTATATTTTACTCAGGCTGGATGTGTGCCCAGAAAAAGAATCCGACCTGCCTGGCTCGAACAGGCGACCTCAAGATGGCATTTTTCCAATTACAGTCTCGCGCTCTTCCAACTGAGCTAAGGTCGGATACGTATCAGTGTAAAATTCTCTTACTTTACCAATTGGACAGCGGCGATAGACAAGTATCCTTTGACGTGGTCTGAGGTTCTTAATATTGGTCCCTATGATGGCCTTCATTCCAAGGCGTCACCTTCTGACGAAGGTGTTTATTGCTTTGGCTCTTGTCTTGGGTGTCAAACTCGTACTTAGCCCCCACTCTTCATCCTCATTGGAACCATCAGTCTTCCAATCCTATAACGTCTTTGAGCGCGTTACGGGTGTAAACAAGATTCTGAATGTCCGAAAGTACAAATTCTTGCAAGGGAGGACGGGGAGAGATGTCAGGAAGGATATCCTTGACGATGTCATAGCTGACGGGGTCACTGATTATTGGAATCGGTTTCAAGCACCATTGTGAGTTGCCCTCCAAGTCTCCGTGGTATTTGACGCGACGCCCGAATAGAATAATGGGAAAGGACACCGCTCACGCAGATCTTCAGAACGTTTTGACTGCTGTCGAGAGCTTGCTATCTCTTAATGGCTGGGTGGCCGCGTATTGTCCGACACTAGCTCGCCCGTTCGGACAAAACAAGAACGTCGACGAAGATGCCTATGATGACCTTGCTAACGATGACCGACTTTATTTCGTAGCAATGGCAATTCATTCAGCCGACCATTTTCTGGTCGATCAATTGGCTGTCATCGTCCAACTTGCTAAGCGACTGGGCACTTCCAATGTCTTTGTGTCTATGTTGGACTATGACTCTACAGATTCTACGGCCACTCTTACTGACCTCTGTGAAGCCGTTCTGACCCTTTTGGGTGTCTCTTTCCGAATCCGACGCGTGCCTGGGATGACTGAAGACGCAACTGCAGCCTATTATCCCCTGGAGGAAGCCTACATGCGCAACCTTGCATTAGAGCCTCTTCTTGAGCTCTACCAGAAGCGCGAAGTGGAATTTCATCGGGTCATTTGGTTGAAAGGATTCACATGTCCAAATGACATCCTCGAGACACTGCGTGTCAGCGTTGCGAACGAGGCCGCCATGGTGTGTGGGATGGACTGGGCAGAATCCAATGGGCAGTTCATATTTTCTGACAGGTCGGTTATCCATCTTTTTTCCCTCATAATTTGAGCGACATCATCTAACGCTTTTTTGAGGTGGCGGACACGCGACATTCACGGCGACCAATTCAGGCAATCCACATCCTCAGCGAAACCAGACGCAGTCCCTCCTCGAGATGAGAGCGGCGCTGCCCGGTATATTCAACACCTTCCCTTCCAAGTCTTCTGCTGTGAATCAGGCACCCACATCGTCGATCCAGCTCAGTCCTACTACAAAGGGCTCAAGTACCGTTGTGGTATCGATTTCCACAACGCGTCCTCCTCGTCGGACAGCGTACTCACACGCGCAGCCGATGCGCCATGTCTAGATAGCAGCCAGGCCTGGTTCTGCAGAGACCTGTGGATCAGCAATGCGCTGAATGACTTCCCCGAGGACGAGGTCGTACCCACTCCCGAAGTCCAGCCGCTCTCACGCAGGCAAGTCCCTGACGAGGAGCCGGATGCAGACGTGAATGCTGGCTCTGATTATGATGCCATGCCGGACTCAGATGTACCCATTGATGTGCTCCCTGCAGCGCCCCTATCTGTGCCTAATTCTGCATACACTCCCGCACGCATCCTGGTGAACCCCCGCTGTGTAACGACATATGCTGGTGTGAGTCATACCCAGCTTGCACTCGATCTTTTCGGTACTGGCGATGATGACGAAGCTCAAGTCAATGCCACAAAATATGTATTAGAGGACTGGGATGGTGCCCCAGAGAGCTTCGTGTGTCAGGAACAAAGGTACAGACTCTGTTCCTTAATTTGTTACTCTTTTAACACTGCTGCAGGCAAACCGGAGGGAGAAAGGCAGCCAAAACCCAGCGCTTGCTTGGATTTGCTATTCATGATGAATTGCGATAGAACCAATTAAAATCGACTGCTCAATTTGTATATATTATATATCCACTAGCTTGGTCTCTTGCATGGGCAATCTGGATGATATCATGGAACTACAAACTATTTCGT